TGTTTCCCATCAAAAACAGTAGTTCATCAAAGCAAATGAGATAATTTAATAATATTTCATTTATTTATTATTTATTAATAATAATAATAAAATTAATTGAAAAAAATCAATTAATTATTAGCGAAATTGATTTTATCAATTTCTTAAAGCGCGCGAGAAATAAAAGGAGGTTCCTAAAGCCGGCCCCCTTCCCCCACCTCCTGGTAACAGAGATTACTTAAATGTACGATTATGTAATTTGGTGAGTATATATAACTTTATTTTAAAATATTAATAACAAAAGATAATATAATAGGATTAAGTGATATAAAGAAAAAGTATTAGTTGATAATTAATAATATGAAAATAACACCAAGTAATTTAGTTGACTTGTAATTCCAAAATATAAAGACAATTTATTGTGTTTTTTGTGTAGTGTTATGCACATTATCAAATTTTTAAAATGGGTATTTAATAAACTTAAGATTTGGTGTTTTTTAGATCGATTGAATTTAATTTAATGCTATAAAAATTGTTAATTAATTTTTTAATATTTTAATTGTTAATTTGATGTGATAAAAATTTAATTTAAATTTAATATTTTTTGTACTTCTTTCTTTTAAAGAGTGTTAACGTGATAGGGCGTATTCACACGGAAATGGTAAATCCCTGTGGATTGGATTATTTTGTGTGGATAGCCTCTTATTTTTTTGTCGAAAAAAACAAATATCCATTTGAAACCATATGTTATGATTTCTATAATTAATAATTGTTATTTATAATCATTTATGGGACAAAAATGATACACAAACATAAATATTCCCGTAACAAGTGTTTCCAATATTTGCAATAATTTCATAGTAAGAAAAAACGCTATTTTCAGCATTTTTTTGAAGTGGTAAAATAAGAATAGATCAAAATGAACAAATAAAAAAACTAACAAAATTTACGTGTATTATCCCGTTTATTTGATACATCTAACACTATTTTTTTCGTTTTTTTTAATTGAAAAAACATTTCAAAAGCGATTAATGGGATTATAATTTGGGAAAATTCCAGTTTTTGCATTAAAAAATTTTTAATTTTAGTATCAATTTTAAAGTATATTATTTTTTGTTAATTGTGGCTCAAAAATGCATTTATTATCGCTTTTTACTAATAGTATTGTAATTTATATAAACACTCCATTAGTTTATTATTTTAATAATAATATTTGGGAATTGAAATTTGTTAAATAATGACTTTTAGTTGGCGCAAATTATACTTATAAAAAAGGGTTTTACATTCTAAATTATATTCAGGTTTCGTTGAAAATGTCAAAGACAAAATTTTAAGTTCAAACTAAACTATTAATTAATAACAATAAATTATATTACAATAGTATATTATTAATCAACATAAAAATAACAGAATAATCACAAAACAAATTATATTAACATAGTTAAATAAAATGTAATTTTTGCTATAAAAACCTTAAAAAGTTAAATGGCAAATTACCACAATGTAACAATAAGTTATTATTTATGTTAATAAAAATCATAACAATACATATTAATTAAAATAGAAACATAAGGCAAATACCAACAAAAACCATCAAAAAATACAAGGTATGTTACTCATTGCATTTAACATGTAATAATGAAGATTGTCTATATATTTACCATCCACACCTTTCCAGTTTATTTACAGTAAATTATGCCTTAGTATTTTATGACAAATTATGAAACAATTTATATAAAAATATTTCAAAAAAATTACTTTCAAAATAGATTATTATAATGAAATAACTTTTAACTATTATTTTTTATTATTATATTTAATATAAATAAACTAATAGTGATACTATTATACTCAATACCACAATTTATTATAAATGATATAAAATATTAGTTTTGATTTTGGATTCAAACTAATAATAGTTTAAAACAAATTCTATTATCATAGTTAAATGGTATTATATTTTTACTCTAAAAACTTTTAAAAAAGTTAAATTGCAAAATACCGCATTTTAACCAAAAGTTTAAAATTAAATTATATAATAATTGTAAATTACTCAAATTTATAACATATTGCTATACGGCAAATACCAACAAAAACCATTAAATAAACAAGGCATGTTAATCATTTCATTTAAAACATAATAATAACATTTGTCTATCAATATTTACCATCCACACCTTTTCAACCTATCCACAGTAAACTATGCCTCAGTATTTTATGACAAATTATATGTTATTTATATAAAAATATTTCAAAAAATTATTTGATTGATTAAATATAGTTTATACAATTAGTTAAATAAACTAAAGTTAATTAATAAAAAACTTTAGTCTTAAAATTTTTAACAAAAATGTATTTTTTGTAACAAATTCGTTTAAATGGTAAAAGTAAAAGATGACTTTGACTAAAAATAAAATTTGTTTTTTCTGTTTTAACTTTCAAAAAATTCGCTTTTTTATGAATTCGGTCCAAAAAACGTCTTTTTTGTAAACTCTTAGGCAAATTTTATATTAATTACAACAAAAATGTGTAAGATTTTCAAAGTCATCCACATAAAAGTGGTCTATCACGTTAATACTCTTAAATGAGTTGTTATTTTTTCCTTTTACTTTTAAAAAGTTCAAAAATACCACATTTATATTTGAAAATGGTTAAGGATTGAAAA